TGATGTACATCTAGGCTATTTCCATTTTTTTATCCATTGTGAATAGAGTAGCAATTAACCTAGATGAGCAAGTGTGTCTGAAGAAATGTGTCACCTGCTTTGATATATACCTTAAATAGGTACTGCTAGAAAATGAGGTAGGCTTATTTGTAACTTCTTGAGGAACATCTATTCTGATATGTTTGTAGCAGTATAAATTCCCAGCAGCTATCAATAATTGCTCCACATTCCACACATCTTCACCAGAATTTGATGCCATTTGAACTTGTTCCTTGTTTTGTTTTATCTTGCCCATTATCACTTTGTGAGATTAATCCTGAAAGTAGTTTTAGTTTGCATCCCTCTGATGTCTATAGCAATTTGAACATATTTTTAAATTTTCTACTTCCATCAGAGTCATCTTTTGAGAACTCTGTATTACTTCCTTGCTCCAATTTTAGTTGGGTTGTTTATTTTTTGTTGTTGATTAGTTTTTTTCAGTTATTTCTATGTTCTAGATACTAACATTTGTAAGATGTAACAATCATAAAGGTTTTCTTCCCATTCTGCATGCATGTCTTCAAAAAACTGATGGGATTTTTTTGCTGTGAATAAATTAATACTGACTTCTATAGGGCTGCACTCATGTGTTCCCTGTCAGAAGTAAATAAAGATTCACTTTTTTGTAAAGTCCCACCATGATTTGTTTCCCAAATGACTGGCATTTTAAATGGTATAGGATGGAACCTGAATGAAGCTGTGATACATGTATATCTGACACTTAGTGAGGTTGAATACATTTCATCATTTATCAGTCATTTCTATTTCATTTTAGATATATGACTGATTCTTCAACCATCCTCTTTCAGAACTTCAGATAAAATTTATTGAAAACACTTCAGGATATTATCTGAGTTAGAGTCACCTTGACACAAGAAAGAGTCATTTAGGGAACAGGCATTTTGTTGCATCACTGGAAAAGTGAATAGGATACGAGTAAATGACACCCTTCATTATAAACCCACCCAATCAGAGGTGACATCTCAGAAAATTTGGAAACTCTGAGCTCTTAGTACAACTTATAAGCAGCCTTACAGGTTGCATAGTATCTCAGGTTGCTTCATAGTGTGCTCTTTTCTTAAGGAGCTTCTCTTGTTTTAAAGTTTTTCTCTATAATTCTTCCTGCTTATCTTGACTTTGAGGGAGATGGTTTTAGCATCTCTGATCAGTTCCATGGACTCCATGAAGCCTTTGTGTACTTTATATTCTGAGGTTAAGAGACTTTCTTGAGGCATGGGATATTTTACTGCCTTTAGAAAATCCTGTGGCTTAATCAGCTTCATTCCATGCTGGAGTTTTTATCTTGAGTTAAACGGCTACACAACAGTAACACTGTGGTTAAATATTTTTCCTAATATTGTTAATATAAAATGTCCAACACTTTGTAAGCTAGTCTGTAGGGAGAAAGTATCCAGGTCAGTTCTTGCCTGCTTTCTTCATTTATTATTACTCATGTATATTATGTCTCCAACAATAGGATATCACCACCAAGTTCTGGACAGTGGTGAAGAACAATGGAAATCACTTGTAGTCTTTGCAGGTGTCCATGAGACCCAATTGACCACCCTCTTTATACAAGTAAGTACATACATGAAACTTGGTATTTTATTTGATACTGTATGGTGAATCAGTGAGGAGTTGTCTCTCCATACAGGATTTCTGCATTGAAACTCTCCTTAGGTCTGCAAACTACAATTTATGAAGTTCCTACAAAAATTAGTTTCCTGATATCATTGTCAAAAATAAAAAATAGCTTTAGTTTTCCTTCTACATACTACCCCCTCTATTCTGCTCATAAATTTCTGACCCCATGCAATCCTTCTTGCTCCATTATTTCTTTCCTAACTTTGAGACATCTATATTTTATCCCCCATTTCTTTAAACTTTTCTCATCATGGGTCCCATCTAGTTTCCTGACTTCTATAGTTACTCCAATTTGAAAATACATCTAACCTTTGTGTGGCATTTTGTTTCTGGATCTGCATTACCTCACTCAGAAATATTTTCATTTCCATCCATTCACCTGGGAATTTCATAATTTCCTTTTCACATCTGAATAGTTCTCTGATGTGCATACATATAAAATTTCATCTGTTGATGGACAAGCAGGCTATTTTCTTTGCCTGACTATTGTTAATAATACAGCAATTAATGTGGATGACTAAGCATACTTAGATTAATATACATATTCTTTGGGTTGGGTTGTTTTTTGTGGGATAGCTGTACTGATTGATATTTTTTCAACTTGACACTTACCCAGAAATATTGGAAAAAAAGAAATCTTAATTTAAAAATGCCTCCATAATATTGCCTTGTGGACAAGCCCATGGAGCACATTCTTTTATTAGTGATTGATGAGGCATGGGCTAGCTCTCTGTGGGTGGTGCCACCCCTGGGGCAGTTGATACTAGGATGTATAAGAAAGCATGCTGGGAAAGCTATTCTGTAAGGAGCATTCTTCCATGGCTTCATCATGAGTTCTTGACTCCAGTTTTCTCCTTTAAATTCCTTCTGACTTCCCTTGGTGAGGGAGTTTAACCTCAGACCTGTAATCTGAAATTAACCATTTTCCAACTTAGTTGCTATTGTAATGTTTTTTCCTCCCACAGAGATACAAACTTCAAAATAAGTAGTACAAAGGCTATTTTCACAATGAGTGAGTTCTTTCCATCTCCTGGTGTGTTTTAAACTTCTTTCTTCAGTGTCTAAAAGCTTTTACTTTACTACTTTTCTTTTCTCCTTGGTTTGATTCATTATAAGACGTTTTTGTCTCTGTTTTTTTATGAGACAGGGTTTTCTTGTGATGGGGGCTGTCCTGTCTATATTCTGTGAGTATATGTTTCTCTTATTGGTTTAAAAAAACACTGACTGGCCAGTAGCCAGGCAGGAAGTATAGGTGGAGCTACCAGATAAGGAGAATTCTGGGGAGAGGAAGGCAGAGAGTGAGGTTCCAGAGAGACACCATGTAGTTGCCAAAGTAGTAGCAGTTCTGGGCATTCTCCAGTAAGATAAGACCATGTAGAAACACATATATTAATAGTTATTGGTTAATAATTAAGAGAAATCTAGCCAGTAAGAAGCCTAAGCCATTGGGCAATCAGTTTTTTAATTAATATAAGCCTCTGAGTGTCCATTTGGGGCTCTGCAGTCCACAGGGCTGCAGAACCTGTTGGAACAGAAACTCCATCTACATCCCTGTGTAGTTTGGAGCCTGTCCTAGAACTAGCTCTTGTAGACCAGGCTGGTCTCACACTCACAGAGATCTGCCTGCTTCTGCTTCCCAAGTGCTAGAATTAAAGACATGCACTGCCATCACCTGACTCATTATAAATTTTAAAATTAACTGTAATAGTATTGCTCCCCTGATTTCTTTTTTGGCATGTGGCCATTGGTATATAAGAAAACTTTTTTCTGTGTTAATTTTGTTTCCTGCTACCTAACTGAATTTGTTTATCACCTTTAGGAGATTTTTGGTGCTGTCTTTAAGGCATGAAATCATGTTATATATAAGTGAAGATACTTTGACTTCCTCCTTCTAAACCCATACCGCCCCTCTTATCTACTTCAGTATTATTTTTCTCTAGCTAAGACTTCAAGCACTATGGAATAAAAATGTAGAGAGTGAATAATCTTCTCTTGTTCCTGAGGTAGGGTAATACTTTTGTCTGTTTTTGAGTATGATGTTGCATGTTGCCTTTATCCTGTTGAGATATGTCCCCTATAGGACTAAATTCTCCAGAAATATTGTCATGAATAAATTTTGGGTTTGTTTCAAGACATTCTCAGTACCTAATAATATGATCATGTAGTTTCTTTCCTTGAATATACTTATGTGGTGGATTACAAATATCAATTTATATATGTTGAAGAATTCCAACATCTAAAGGATGAAGCCAATATTATCATGCTGGATAATGTTTCTTTTTCAGTTGTTACTTAATTTGTTTTGCAAGTGTTTCACTGAGAATTATTGCACCTATGTTAGTTAGATAGATTGACATTTTATATTTTTGGTGGTGGAATTATGTGGTTTTAGTCAAGTAATTTGTGATATACTAGATATGACATGATCTGGCCAACAATTTTCCTATTGTTGGCCACTCTAAACTGTACTGACAACCATTTGCCCCATCCTTTGGTCATCTTATGCTCTGGAACAAAACAACTTAAAGTTTGATGATACACTGTCAATATATATGTAGCATCACTTCTTCATCCTGCAGGGCTTTGAGCACACAGTTATGACATAACCCTAAACACCCTTCTCCACAGACTTCCCCCCTACTCATGTTTGAATTACAGAGAGCAGGAAACGTGACTTTCCCATTAGAATCGATATATGCCACTTATTGTTATATATGAGACATACAGATTTCTTACTCTTCATTTGAGTATTTTGCCTGACGGTAGGTCTGTGCAACACTTGTGTTCATTGCCCTCGATGGCCAGACTATGGTTTCAGATCCTCTAGGACTGTAGTTACACACAGTTGCAAGCCATCCTTTTAGTTCTGGGAGTCAAACCCAAGTCCTCTAAAATGGCTGCCAATTCTCCTAACTATGAAGCCATCTCCAGCCCTTGATTAAGACACATATACTATCTCTTAATATCTGATCTATTTTAAGAACAGCTATTGGTACTGGGAGAGTGATTGTATGCCAGTTTAATTGTTTCCATGTCAGGTTAATACAGCTCCAAAAAGATTGGGCATAGATACATGTATGTAGATTCCGCATATAAATTTCCCTGGAAGAAATGAATATTATACTCCTTTTAAGACATCAAAAAGTATTAAGTAAATTATGACGTGTAATCATGTAAAGCCACAAAGTGTTGCTGGTAATTAATTATAAATATAAAATATTAAAATATACTGTTGTAATTCTCTTGTGCATGACTTCTACTTCAATCTGTTAATGAAAAACAAAGGTGGGTACCTCATCTATAATGTGCACACTTGCCTGTTCCATTGGAAATTTCATTAGTAGGGCAGAGGCTGCAATCAAAACAGCAGACAGCCTTGCCTTCCTGAAGAGATTTTCTAAATCCAGGACCACAACTTTCACTGCATACAGAGATTGGAATCTGAGCAAAGGAAATAAGAAATGTGCGGATATATAAGAATTAATCCAGTGATTGAATTTTATGATAATATTGGACCATTGATAAATTTAATTTTATGAACCCATATTTAATTAATTAATGAAAACATAAATATACCACATTACAGTATATATGTGTAGTACACATATAAATATACATGTAAACACACACAAACACATATATGTTTAGAATCATGTATATATATGAAGAAGAATGTGTTAGTACTTGGGGATAATTAACTTATGAAGAAAGCATTGAAATGTAGAAATTAAGTTTGTATCTTTTAATTTATGAGGAGATTTGAAGCTCACTAAGAGTGCTTTTGTTTGTTTGTTTTTTAGTTTTTTGTGTTCTGTTAAAGCATGATGTAACATTCTACCCACCTCTCTGTATCCTGTGCTCCACTCTATCCTGTCTTCCAACAATGACAATTGTTGACCAGGTGGCAAATATGAGGAATACGTTCCTATTTTCACTTTATATCCAAGACCTTGTGGAAAATTCCAGAAGTTCAGGATGTCATAATCTGCATTCAATTTTTCTGAGGGATTCAAGGTTACTGGATCCCCACCAGAATTCGTGAATTTAATGTTCTTCAGAATGGGGTTCATCTAAGAAAAATTCATGATTCATTATGGCATGTTCATTGTTAAAAGAAAAAACTGAATTATGCCATGTTCACATTTATATTAATGTGCATTTCAACATGAAACATAGGTATATAACAGAAAAACTGAATGATTACAATGAACTAAAACCACAACTATCCTAATACTATGTTAACAGAATATTCAGATAACTCTCTGGTTCATTTTTCATCCTAATGTTTTTCAGCACTGATCACCAAATTTCAGGATGGTTAAATTAAACATGAACATGGCACAATCTAAAATTATCTGGAAATAAACTTCCAGTAAAGAAATGTCTAGATAAACTTGGTCTCAGAGTACTTGTATGAGAGATTTTGAAACTTGGGTTAACTGAGGCATAAGGACATGCTCTGATTTTAAGCAGATAATTTCATGGACTGAATATATTGGAGGGAGCCAGTTTAACAATAGTATTTATGCGATAACTCATTGCTCTCTGCTCTTTACTATTGATCATGATATGAAAAACTGCTTTAATTCTAGCCATCTTAAGATTTTTTAGTATGATGGTCTATAAACAGGAATTGTGAGTCATATAATTCCTTTCTTAAGTGACTTTTGTCCATGTGGGGTATTTTTTGGTGCAACTGTTTTATTTTTTTGTTTTTAAAACAATCCTATTTTACATATCAATCCCAGTTTCCTCTCACTCCTGCCCTCCCATTCCCCCAAACCTTCTCCCTACCCAACCACATTTCCACTCCTTAGAGAGAGTAAGGCTGTCACATCATTTGAGTAAGGATCAAGGCCCTCTGCTTCCCCCACGCCATATCTAGAATGAGCAAGTTATCCCTCCATAGGGAATGAGCTCCAAAAACCCAGTTCATGAACTAGGAATAAATATATTAGTTCCACTATTAGTGGCCCCATAACTGCCAAAGCCCCCTTTCCAATTGTCACCCACATTCAGAGGACCTAGTTTGGCCTTATGCAGTTTCCTTAGCTGTCAGTGTGGAGTCAGTGAGCTTCCAGTTGTTCAGGTCAGCTGTTTTTGTGGGTTTCCCTACCATGGTCTTGACCAGTTTGCTCATATTATCACTACTCCCTTTCTACAACTGGACTCCAGTGCTTAAATGTGGCTCTCTGCGTCTGTTTCCATAATTTACTGGATAAAGGCTCTGTGATGGCAATTAAGGTAGTCATCAATCTGATTATAGGTGAAGGGCTGTTAAGATATCTTTTTCACTATTGCTTAGATTCTTAACTGGGGTCATCCTTGTGGATTACTGAGAATTTCCCTAGTGCCAGATTTCCCTATAACCCCAAGATGACTCCCTCTATCAAGGTATCTCTTTCCTTGCTCTCCCTCTCTGTTCTTCCCCCAACTCGACATACCAATCCCTCATGCTCTCCTTCCCTCTTCCATTCTTTCTCTATTCTCCCAACACTCCCAATTTACTCAGGAGATCTTGTCTATTTCCCCTTTCTGAGGTGGGGGGAGAAGAGTCCATGTATGTCTTCTTTCTTAGGGTCCTCCTTGTTTCCTGACTTCTCTGGATTTGTGGACTGTAGGCTGGTTATCCTTGGCTTTACATCTAATATCCACTTATGCATGAGCACATACTGTGTTTATCTTTCTATGCCTGGATTTGTTTTATCACATCTAAAGGAAATAAAGTCAAGACAGTGTTTACAGAAGATATAGTTTTGTGAGATATTTTAAGATTACTTTGTTTAGTGGATCTTATGCCATTTAGGATCCTGAAATGTCAGTCATTCCTCGTTTATATTTAAGAACTTCATGGGAAGATGTTAGATTTTCTTGTTGAGAAGCTTAGAATGGCAGGATACTGATGGGCTCTTTGCCATAAGTTTTTGCTCTTATTTCTTAAGTATTTTTTCTATGAAAATGACATTTTGTTTATGATATCTATTCAGGTCTACATTTTTCTTTTTGTGCATGTATCTTTTGAAGAAGAAACCCAAGATACTTCTTTAGAGCACCTGCGTGGCCCCTACGTTCCCATGGTGACATTATGCAACATCCATATGAAAAGACAATACCTTCCAGGGGGGAAATTCCATTCTTCCTTCATTTTTCTTTGCTTGCATGTTTACTTGTTTCATAAGCATTTTGTGGAGGGTGTGGGCCACAGCATACACAGCATTATATACATGGTAACTTCCATCACTCATGGCAGTATCATAGTGGTACCAAGGTAACCATTCCAATGATCCACTAGATGAGCAGTTTTCTTCTACTTTACAGGAAATGTCAGAGAGTGCACAATTAAAATAAATCTTCCACAGTCTTGCAAGGAAAATGTCTTCTGGGTATTTGGAAGGGGTGACTGTTTTTACAAAATCTTTAAAAGTAGAAATCTCACCATGGTGTTGTGAAAAGATAAGAGTCCCATGGAATGAGTCAAGAATGAAAAGTCTCATAGCAGTAACGGCTTCCCATTGTGAAGTGGAGACCCAGATTCTCCATGGAAATACATATTCCCATCTACTGAAGAGGACGCATAAAGATGAGTCCGTGTCACCATATATGATAATAATTTTTGCTGAGTTCATCACAATCTGCCTATAGTAGACACCAGAGTCTCTCATGAGGACCAAATAGTTTATTGGGACCATTGCCTTGAAGGCTACACAGACTCTGTTTCTTTCCATCTCTGGTATCAATTCTGAGAGAAACTGAACAACTTTATCTTCTTCTGAGATGACCAGCCCCACCCAGTTCCATCTGAAATGAACCATTAATGAGACCACACCTAAGGTCAGAGAAGAGTCCTTGATACCCATCTGATACAAAGAGGGAAACTTCACAGGGTCATTCAGCTTTGGTTCAAATGGTCCAAAGGTTAGCTAAAGAAAAGAGAAGAGGGAGTAACATGAAGTTAGTTTCCAGAAATCATGAACTCAATGAATATGGATAGGAACTGAAAGTTTTAGAAAGTCAGATTTATATTTAAAGTCAACTCCAACACCTGGAGAACATTCCGGAAAATGAGATGAATATTAATTTTTTTCATAAACAACTTCATGTATCTCCTGTCCTTAATGTATATTTCATTATGTGGATATAACAACAGATATTAGAATATAGAGTGTCAAAGACTACATGTTTTAAAATGGTTGTTGGTTGTGTCTTTGTGTGCATGTGTGTGTATGCCCACACATGTGTGTATGTCCATGTTTGTAAAGATGCATACACATATGTGTGTATATAAATGATGAAGAGGACAGTGGGTGTTCTCTATTTTCCTCAACATATTCTTGAGGTAGAATCTCTCTACAACCTGAAGTTCATGACTTTTGGCTTGGCAAGAAGAAAGGAATTCTTGATCCCACAGAAATCATACTGTCTCTGCTGTGCTATCATGAGGGCATGGGTGGTTCTAGCATCCAAACTCCTATCCTCATGATTGCACAGAAAGCATTTAGAATCCAGGGCCATCAATTAGCCAAAGACTATATACTTTGAGTGATACACAAGTGAAGTCTTCTTCTTTATGCTTTTCCTTGTTACTCAAATGTTGGTATTAAAGGAGAATTCTTTCATTTACCCCAACTCATATAATCTCACCAATGGATATTTATAAAGTCCCAGAAATGTGCCAAATAGGGAAGAAATGTCCCATGTTGTTCCTGTGATTGCAGCCATAGATTTTTCCTCTGTTCTGCAGGTGTAGTTTGGGATGAGTTTGTCCTCCCCTGTGAGCCACAAGATGATATTAAAAGATGTCGCTTGATCATGTGGCCAGGCAGTGTAGATACCATATCCCAGAGACACATTAGGTAAAAGAAGGGGGTTCCTGTTGATCTCCTCAATGGCAAAATTCAAGGCTATTGCAAATTGGTACTTGTGAGGACTGATCCTGTGTAGAGGACATAAGGGTCATACAGGACAATCTTCAAACACCATTGTCTTAAAAATGAATACTGTAACTGTTATACACTAAATGAAAGTTTCCCTTCACAGCTTCTGTATCTAAATTATTGTTTGTTATTTGATGGTTTTGCAACATGAGATTTTTTTTTGGAGATCAGTAGGACTGGTTGTGTTCATGCCTAATAACTCACAGAGACTAATGCCTTGTATAATATTGTACCATTTTCTTCATCTATTTCCAGAATGAGGATAGTGCAATGAGACTATCTTCCATTGATTAAGCTGGTTTCATTACATGATCTTTACATGCCTTTGGCTTGACATGCCTATCCTTCAAATAAGTGATAGATACAATTGTGTGATTCTGGGGATGAGAAGCATTTATTTGTGGGAGCCAGACTGAACCAAGACTTTCTAAAAGGCCCCTATAAAAGGACAAAGGGAAATTTAGTTCTATGTCCTTGTCTAATTTTGTACTTGGCACATCCTTTGTAGGGATGCAGCCAATGTAACAAAGGAGTCAAACTTGTTTTATTACCCAGCTCTCCCCCTTTGGTTATGGTTATCAGTACCAAAGCAGCTGTTTCTGAGATATCTCTTTGTTCCCTTTGAACAACATTGTCTGCCTAAGTTCTCTACTGACCTTGGGTATTTTTGCACTACAGATAGTTTATAGGGTTTTGTACTTCTTCCAAAGCTTGCTTGGCATTAGTTATCAGTTTATTCAAGACATTCTGGGCCCAGTTAGTGCTCTCATCATGTATGTTCCTCATTTTCATTCCTCCGACCTTACACCTTTCCATTTGGGACAATTTTTCTCTCAGGTTCAGGTCAATATGTGGTGTTTGTTTGTGTGTACTTGTGTTTGTGTATATTGTGTGTGTACATGGTATATGTGTGTATATATGGTATGTACATGCATATGTCATGTATGTATAGTGCATGTGGATATATGCAGCTGGTTTGTGTGTGCATGCATGCTTGTGTGAGCCATCTCCCCAGTTTGAGGATAGTCTTCTTTTTAAGGATGAACTAACAATGACATCAACTTTTGGTGATGTCTGAATCACAAATCCTTTATTTTTTTATACAAAGGGAATACAATGCCAATTTTGCTTCTCATTCTTCTTATCTTCTTCAACTTTTCTGTTTTTAAGTTATGTACTGACATAGCATTTAAGATAGAAATGGTTAGATTTTTGCATTGTTTATAACAATAAGAACATTTGGTTCTTAATTATGAATTTTAACTGTATTCTAAATTCCTTTCATGCTTTCTCTTACATGTGTTTCATTAGTATCTATAATATATTCTCTGATTCTTCCATATAATTTGACATTGCATGTGGTCAGTATTTACTCAGATTTGGCATTCTCATGTAGTTCTACAGTCTTTAGGTAATAAAGGGGTTACTTGCACTAATTGTTTTTTACTGTATTTGTTTACCTTTCATCAATCATGTTTTGCTTTGAGAGTTTCACATTGTTTTGTATTATTTATTTAGATTATTATTTTATTATCTGTATACATGTCTGGTATAATGTATGTCCACAAATATACTAGATATGCCCTTTGCATGTTAATGAGGAGGTTAAAGGAGGATGTCCAGTTGCCCTGCTCTCTAAGTCTGAATATTTTCCCATGACACATGGTCTCTCTCTGCGACTGGCACTCCTCTGACACCCAGGAAGCCTCAGAGACCCTGTATCCAGGCCTGCCAGTGCTGGAATTCCAAGTGCATTTTCAGCCATAGGAGCTTTTACATGGTTGCTACGGATCCGAACTCAGGTTGTCATGCTTGCTGGAGAAGTGTTACAAGCCATAGGCCCAGCTCCCCAAGCCCTTTGAAGTGTATCTTCACTTGCTCTCTACTATGCACATGAGACCACATTGCCAGTCTGGATAAATGACACCACCTGTGCTCACTCCGTGCTTGTTGCATGTTTTTCTACTCAAATGACTTAGTTAGCTTTCTTGTTCCATATATCATTTGCTATTTCTCATTCTGTCCTTTTAATATAATTTCTCTTTAGTGTGTTCACAGTCTTAATGTTCTAGATCTCTTTTTCCTTTTCTATTAAACTTTAGGTATCCATATTCACTGGAAGGACCTGGAGGCAAAACAATGCAGCCAGAATCATCAGCTGCCATTCTTGTCTTGCCCCTGCACCCTCTAGTAGAGAAGTAGAGAGAGAGAGAGAGAGAGAGAGAGAGAGAGAGAGAGAGAGAGAGAGAGAGCGCCACCAGGAGAGACCCAATCTATACCTCTATACCAACTGGAAGAAGACATGGGAAAACAACAGTATAAGAACACATTAAACAACAGAAAGACTTATATGACACCAGAGTCTAGGGACTCTACATCAGCAAGTATTGCACCCTTCTCCCATGGGGGTCTGCTGACCAGCTTGTGATGAGGAGCTTCTAGCAAAATACCTCTTGTCCCCTGTTCCCAGTATAGCATGAATGCAAGTTCCTGTTTTTCATCCATCCTTATTGTCTAAATTCAGGTTCCTGTTGTCTGCACCTCCTTTGCTGGAGGGCCCTTGGAACATGAGCTCCTGATCTTGGTAGTTTTCCACCATGCCTGCTATTGGTATATAATGCTCCACTCTTGCTAAAATAAATACCATTCTCCTTGCAAGAATGAACCCCTGTCTTTGTCTTTGTTTACATCCTTAGCCCTTCACCAAGATCATTGAGAAGTGTTGTAGCCCCATAACCAAACCATCTCACTACAAGCAAGACCTGAACATGGCAACACAGATGAAACAGAAGAGAAAGATCTTAAAAACAACCTCATGAAAATGATAGAGACCTTCAAAGAGGAAGTGAAAAAACCCTTATAGAAATGGAAGAAAAAGGAAACAAAAACAAAATGCAAGAAAGCAACAAATCTCTTAAAGAAAGCAAGGAAAGCCAAGAAAAAACAATCAAACAGAAAAAGGAAACCATTCAAACAGTTCAAGACTTGAAAACTGAAATAGAGACAATAGGCAAAACAGAAACTGAGGGGATGCTGGAAATAGAAAAGCTGAGTAAACGATCAGGAACTACAGATGCAAGCATAGCCAATAGAATACAAGACAGAGTCTCAGGTGCTGAGGATAAACTAGAAGAAATAGATTCATCAACCAAAGAAAATATTAAATCCAAAAACTCCTTAACACAAAATATCCAGGAAATATGAAACACTGTGAAAAGAATAATAGGTATACAAGAAGGTGAAGAAGTCCAGCTCAAGGTACAGAAAACAAATGCAACAAAATCATAGATGAAAACTTTCCCAACCTGAAGAAGGACATGTATATGAAAGTACAAGAAGCTTACTAAACACCAAATAGACTGGACCAAAAAAATTACCCTTGCCACATAATAGTCAAAACACCAAACACACAGAATAATAAAAGAATATTAAGAGCAGCAAAGTAAAAAGGTCAAGTAACATATAAAGGCAAACCTATCAGAATTACACCTGACTTCTTCATGGAAAATCTGAAAGCCAGAAGGTCCTGGATAGATGTTCTACAAACCCCAAGAGACCACAGATTCCAGCCCAGAAGACAAAAACAGATTTACACAATACATATCCACAAATCAACACTTCAACTTCAAAGACAGACGTTATCTCAGAGTTAAGGGTTGGAAAAGATTTTCCAATCAAAGGGATTTAAGAAGCAAGTGGGTGTAGCTATATTAGTATCTAACAAGTTAGACTTCAAACTAAAATTAGTCAAAAGAGATGGAGAAGGACATTTCATATTCATCACAGGAAAAATCCCATCAGGATGAAGTCTCAATTCTGAACATCTATGCCCCAAATACAAAGGCATTCAAGTTTGTAAAAGAAACATTACTAAAACTCAAAACACACATTAATCTGCACACGCTTATAGTGGAAGACTTCAACATCCCATTCTCACCACTGAACAGGACCACCAGACAGAAACTTCATGAAGAAATAAAGAAGCTAACTGAAGTTATGACCCATCTATAAAACATTCCATCCAAACACCTTCTTCTCAGCACCAAATGGATCCCTTCTCTAAAATCGACCACATACTTGGCAATAAAGCAAACCTCAACAGATAAAAAAAATTTGAATTAACCTCTGTATCTTATCAGACCACCATGGCTTAAAATTAGAATTCAACAACAACATAAATTGCAGAAACCCCACAAGCACACTGAACAATGCTCAATTTCATCAATCCTGGATAAAGGAAGAAATAAAGAAACAAATCAAAGACTTCCTAGAATTGAATGAAAATCAAGGCACAACATACCCAAACCTATGGGACACTCTGAAACCAGTTCTAAAAGGAAAGTTCATAGCACTAAGTGCCCACATAAAGAAACTGGAGAATAGTCACACTAGAGAAGTAACAGAACACTTGAAAACTCTAGAACAAAAAGAAGCAAATCACCCAGGAGAAGTAGAAGCCAAGAAATAATCAAATTGAGAGCTGAAATCAATAAAGTAGGAACAAAAAAATAAAAAGAATCAATGAAACAAAGAGCTGGCTCTTTGGAAAATTTAAGGAAATGGACATTTTTCTGGATATATATCACTTACTAAAATTAAATCAAGAACACATAAACTATTTAAATAGACCTATAACCTCTAAATAGAAGCAGTCATCAAAAGTCTTCCAACCAAAAAATCCAGGACCAGAAGGTTTCAGTGCAGAATTCTACCAGAAATTCAAAGAAGAGCTAATACCAATACTCTTCAAATTGTTCCACACAATAGAAGCAGAAGGATCACTGCCAAACTCTTTTTACAAGGCTACAATTACCTTAGAATACAAACCACACAAAGACACAAATAAGATACATAACTACAGACCAATCTCCCTCATGAACATTGATGGAAAAATCCTCAATAAAATACTGGCAAATCAAATCCAAGAACACATCAGAAAAACCATTCACAATGATCAAGTAGGCTTCCTCCCAGGGATGAAGGGATGGCTCAACATATT